CCATTTTTCCCAAAAAATCGCCGTGGCTCGAAAGTACACCGACTGGCGTGCTCCAAAATAGGCCGTTCCATATGGGAGCATAGCAGTAACAACTACAACCAATTTCAAACATGTGGGTCAAACGGTTCTTGAATTATCGTTGACCGAAACCAAATGTTGACGGACAGACGGACGAACGTACGACGGACGACGACCCATGGCAATAGCTCAGCTTGACGATGTCAAAGTGAGCTAAAAAATTGGTGCATTCTGAGAGCATCTGAGCAGTAATTTTGATGTCTAGAATGCAAAAATTTATCAGATCCGGTCCCCCGGACGCCTGCGGACCCCTCTTTGCCCATTTCTAGGTTTTTATAATGAAATATAAGTAAATCTTTATCAGAAAAACTAGCGCTAAACAAGATTTTTGTATGGAGACAATATAAGAGAAGTGTGTGTGTGTGTGTGCGTGTGCGCGTGCGTGCGTGTGTGTATGCTTTTTTCCCTTTTTTTGTGGTAAAAAGGGGGGGTCCGGACCCCCTCGACCCCCCCTCTGGATCCGTCCCTGCAAGCAAACCTACATATCTACCACTCATGTGACATGCCATGTGTCTTGTGAGGCCTTTGGCCTGTACAAGCAAACTAACTACAAGTGCCAGTATAAGTGTGTTAGCCACAGACCAGTCTACCGGTAACCCGTCTTTTGGACAGCCTATTCTTAGATGAGACGGATGAAATTTGATAGTGATGGCATGCGGGCGGCCCAATTTTATATATTATACACCTTGTATAACTGACAACAGTGCTTATAAGAATATAAAATCAAATTAGATTCCTGTCTTTTTGGCATTTCAGACTAATTTTTAGGACTAAAATTCCTCCATTTTAAGGTAAGGTCCTCCCCCCCTAGGGCCCTTCGCGCCCATAGCATCCTCGCTTCGCTCAGATGGTGAGACTCCCTGATTTCTTTTGGTGGCCAACACTCTGGCCAGTATATATATATGCTTCTACATTGCGGCATTTACCAGTGGTACATTACATGAGGGGATGAACGTGTCACCCTCACACAGTGTAAAGGCACATGGGGGAACTTGTCATGATATCTAACAGCAGCACTCGGTTGACAGATGTAGTTATCTATTTTAGACTGCTCCACAACACTGGAGACAAGCAACTAGAAGAATTGTAAACCAATCCCAGTTAAACATGCACTGATGCCGCGCTCTGCTCTATGTGGGATGTATGGAATATTATTTATTTCTTGTCATTTGTTTATTCATTCAATAATGGTAAATTAGTAAATGTGAGAACATTCATGAGCTTGCAAGCTCATGGCTTCATTACAGCAAAAACTGCCAGTTTACACCAGAGAAATGCGTCAGCATCAGGGGAGTAAAACGTTGTAACGAATACGTTACGTAATACGTTGTAAGCGAGTTTGGAGTATCATGTGCGCATGCGTCAAATGGGCCAAATCAGGGCCAAAAGTGTCAGGCTCAATACACACGTACGCGCACAATGAAAACGCTCTGAAAGTCCATACGCATTGTTATATGGAGAAATAAGCATGTACAGAAGTGAAACCTAGTGTTAGCCATCAAAATTGGAATGCAAATAAAAAGTCAATAAAATTTCGCATCATCAAAGCATGAGTGTATCTAGCGCGACGAGGCTGTGCGACTGATTGGCTATACAAACTGGTCTTGTAATACAAAGACTAGCAAGACCGTTTCTTGGAGCTAGAGTGTACATCCTTAATTAGTAGAACGGCGCTAGATATCGATCGAACAGCGATTGCTACCTGCTCACGACTACAACTCCATTACAACTGCCTGGCACTCGGTCTCAGTGTCAGCTGGACGCAAACTATGTATGTATGTATGTATCTATGTATGTATGAACGGGAACCTTTAGATCGGTATTTCCCTTTTTATTTTTGGATAGTTTCCCACCGGTAATTTCACTTTACCGGGAGATTTTGTTCCGGAGCTTCCAGGCTGATTCTAAGTAATGTTTAACCTGCTCTACCCAATCCCCATAACATCTATGTTCATTTAGCCCCAAGATGGTGAGCATCACCTGCCTTTCCTCCAGCTGTGCAGGGGTGACCCCCACTTCTTGGAGCCTGTCCCACATGATCTTCCTTAGGTGTTTCAATGCCGGGCAAACTAACAGGAAATGCTTTAGGTCTTCTGGTTCTCCCTTATTGCACACAGTGCAATTTTCTTCCCCTAACCATCTCCTGGTTCTTTTATTTACGGGGAGGCATCCCGCTCTACATTGGTACAGCAGCTTACTGTCGATTTTATTATTATTGGTTTCTTGTTTAGGAAATGTTTTCCCTTTATATAGCTCTAGTGTGCTTTTGTTTACCATCCCCTTTCACCATATGACTGTACTGCCTTTTATAATAATTTTCTCCACCGTATTGTTCCATGTTTCGTTGTTTTCTCAGTCTCTATTTATTAATAGCTGTTCTTTGTCATACTTTCCCCCCCAAGGAATTTTACTCGTCTATTCCAATCCAACGTAAAATTTCCTGCACTGATACTGATAGCTTCCGCTATTCCCCTGCATTTCCTCTCTTCATCCATATAATTTAATCTCCCTAAATATTTAAGTTTGCTCTTCGCTTCTCTATCCTCAAACGTGGACCATCCAAGCTCCCCCCCTTATTGTTTCAATACCCGCGTAAGGTGGGGCACCTAACAGTTCCCTGCCAAGCTGGTTTTGGGTATTTTCAAAAGCTTGGAGAGTGCCTGTTCCCTTTTTCTTATCCTTATATATGATTATGTCATTTCCATAGGTTAGGGCAGGTACTGCTACTGTCTTCCACAGTTCTCTCCCTACCCAGTAACTGCTGCAGCTATAGTATGCCTTCGTTGCTATTATCCCTCGGTATTTCCTTGCCTTTACTCGCACTTCACACAGTTCGCACTTTCGACACAGTTTTCTATGTTATTGTTTATTTAAATTCCTAGGTATGTGTATTCGTTAACGATTTCTAGACTTAGCCTCCCTAGTTTGAAATTTGCATCCTCAAATTCCGCCTTATTATTATTAAAAATCATGACTTGAGACTTGTCTTCGCCGTATATCATTTTGTAGTCTTCTGCAAAGCCTGCCGCCACATCTAGTAATTCCTGCAGTTCCCTTTTATTATCTGCTATCAAGACCACATCATCAGCATACAGCATCCCTGTACTTCTTTCCCTCCCTACACCTAGTTCTTCATTTTTCCTTTCTAGTCTGTGAGATAGCTCTTTTATACAGATGGCAAAGAGCAACGGTGATAATAAGCATCCTTGTTTGACCCCTCTCGTGGATTTAACCCAACCTGATTCATATGGGCCTAGGCTAGCCTTAGACTCATTTCCCTCGTACATGGCCTCTATTAGCCGGCTAAATTTGTCCCCTAACCCAACTCTTCTGAGTTCACGAAGTAGTTTCCTTCTATCTACCCAGACAGTCGTATGCTTTTTTAAAGTCTAGGAAAGCCACATACAAGGTTGATTTCCTGTATTTTGCCCTCTGTATGCTTTGGGTCAGAATATAAATGTTGTCACTTGCGCGTCTGTCCCTTCTGAAGCTATTTTGGAGTTTTCCTAGAAATCCGGAGTCTTCCAGCAAGTTTTCTAGGTGAGTCCTAAGGATTCCTGCGAATATTTTACCCACATTACTAGTTAGTGAGCACTATTGGGCTGTAGTTTTTAAGTTTTCGATCCAGGTTTTTTTCCTTTGAAGACTAGCGTGACTCTGCTCCTTTTCCAGCTTTCCGGAAATACTTCGCTCTCTAAAATCTTGTTGAATAGGTCTTTTAACCTTTCCACTAGTGTTTTCCCACCATGCTTTATGAATTCCTTTGGGATATCATCCCACCCGCACGCCTTTTCCAGCTTTGCCACCTTTATCCTACCTATAACGTCTTCTATGGTTACGCTATTTGTTAAGTCCGCCGCTTTATCCATTTGGAGGTATACTTCCCTGTTTTGTAAATTTGTGTCAGCCAGGCACGCTCCTTTATCTTCATTTGTCTCTTTCCAATGTTTTGTCATTTCCATGTTAATATCGCTTTTGTTTTCTAAGTCGATACCACTATCGTTTTTTTTTTTTTTTTCATAGCTGGTTTTGTCTCCTCCATTCCTGACCATGTACCAGAAGAGTTTAGCACTCGCCTTCCCTGCACTTCTGATCGCCTCTATCTGGTTTTCTTCAAACTTAGCTCGTTTTTCCTCAATGATGTATTTTGCTTTATCTTTGGACTCCTCATACACTTGCCTAGCCAGTCTTAATTCCTCTTCGTTTACTTGTTCCCCTTCAAATTCTAGTTTTCGTATTTTTCTGTACCTTCTGTTGGCCTCCTGTCTCTCTTGTCTCGTGCTTTTACAGCTTTGGTCAAACCAAGGTCTATCCTTCCTCACCCCTGCTTTGCCTGACGTTCTGCCTATATAGCTTTTGTTCCCGCCTCTGCGAGGGCCTTCACTATAGACCGCTCCAATGTTTCAGCATCCTCATAGGGCGAGTATTTTGTCGTTAATTTATTTAGGTTCCTTTCACATTCCCTTTGGAAGGCTTCCCAATCGGCATCTCTGGTTTTCCATGCTTTTTTTATAGTGAAATCTCTGATGCTATCGTTCTTAAATACCTTTAGCACCAGGGTACTAGAGGGAAATGGTCTTTAGTTATGTGTACTTGCCCTTCATCATAAATGTCTATCTTTTTAATATATGGTTCCAGCTTTCTATTCACAAGTGCATAGTCGACCGCAGATTTTAGGTTGTTTCGACTCCAGGTGTATTTGCCCTTACATCTTTCATCCTCGTTTAATATTTTTACCCGAGAGGTCTCTGTGAAATCCAATAGCAGTTGCCCATTTCTATTTATAGTCTCCTGTATCATGCCTATGTGCCCGAGTCCCCGAAGAGTAAAAAAACGGAATTATGATTGTTTAGCCACTCTAGCTGACAGGTCAGGGAGTCGTAGATTGCTACATTCCATTCGGGATCCGTGGCCTCCTGGCCCATATACACAGCTCCAAAGGCCCACTTTTCACCTGCCCAAGAGGCTCCAACCCATCCTATTTCTGCCCTCGCCTTCCCCCTATTCATTTCATTCATCTCCTTTAGGGGTTTTAGTCCTAGGTTGCTGCAACTTATAAACCCTATACCACCTCCTCTTTTTTGTCCCTCTTCTCTGCGCTGGCAGTCAACTAATCCAAGCTAGGTCACACCCCATGGCTAGCTATAGCGTTCCCTATATAGCTATCCCTGCGTCATTATCCACGTAACCGTGGGCTACGCAAAAAACTATCCAGATCCAGATCAACTGCGCTTTGTTTATACGACTTGACCTTTGACATTACCCATGATGCTTTGATATGTTGTATAGACTGGTACCCGTTCGCCACCTTCACTCCGGCAAGTATCCTTCGCTACACTGACGACCGGTATGGCCTAATCTATACGGTCAGATTCTGACCGTATGCGCGCATGCGCAAAGCGATTTTTGTCAGCCTCGTTCCCGTTGTAATCACTAATGGCGACAATAACACCTAGGAAGTTACGAATAAGTGAGAGCGGCGCCTTGAACGGGTACTAGACTGGTACCCGGTCAACAGTTCCACACGCTACACTAACGTCAGTGTAGCGAAGGATACTTGCCGGAGTGAAGGTGGCGAACGGGTACCAGTCTAGGATGGACAATTTTCCAGGGACCTGAACTGGTAGCGATTGGTCAGTCGCAACTCACCAATAGCTACCAAGCTTTAAACGGCGACTACCGGTCGTTAGTGTAGCGTGTGGAACTGTCGACCGGGTACCAGTCTATATGTTGTAACTCTGAATTAGCTTAGCTTGTTAGTTTTTTCTGTGCACATAACCCGACCAGGCTGTGTGACTAACGTCAATATACACAATAGGGTCTCCTAACCCTAGCAAAGACCCCCCCTAGGGTCTCTATCCTTGAACCGCCTAGGGCTAGAGTATACTGTAGTCTGTATAGTGAGTATTGTTATAAATATAATATCGCGTAATTTATCAAACGTTATCGCGTCGTTTAACCTTAGCTAACTTACTTAGAACGTAGACAACATTGCCGGCGACATAGCAATATTGATTGCCCCGAAGTTGACAATTTAACATGCGTCCTTTCCAATGAATTGCCACACATATATGCAGAGACGATTCCTCTGCATTCCTAGGACAGAACCTAGAAAAGTTCACGGAATGACGTTTATCGGAAACGCTGTAGCCTACGGCTACGGTGTAGCAGCGATGTAGACTGGTACACGGTACCACCTATCGGCTTAGGTCCTACCTATCGGCTTACCCATAGAGTAATCGAGGTGGGAGCGACCACCAGTCTAGCAGCGGTGTAGTACGGTACAGTGCCAGTGTACACCGTGTACCAACAAACATTATTATATTTTAGATATATTATTTATTATATAGTTATCTATATTTGTAAAAAGATATAATGTAAGCATTATTAAACGAATAACTAAATTAATACTATGTATGCATAAATTTAGCTGTTTTATGCTGTTGCGCTACCGCCTGCTTTTACTGAATCCGGAAATATTAGCAGTCAACATCCGGATTTGTAGTCCACCTTCATAATCTGAATCATCGACATGAGCATTAGAAAACAATGAAAAATGCCACTGAGAGCGTTCATACGGTACTTTTAGCTTTATCATTGCGACTTACACCTCCCATAGACTGCAAGTGTGGTCTTTCTTTAAACTATTTCAGGCATACTATTAGAGTTGAGTGGTGAAACCCGTAGGCGTAGCCGTAGTGAACGGACGTGTTTTGGTAAACCGACCAGGCTCTCCGACTGTTACACGACGGAGGACTCTCGCCACGTAGTGTTAAGCGAGATGGGAACTTGTGGCTAGCGTTTTGGGAGAGCTCCGGTGACATTCATGATGACGCCACTTTCCAACTATCGTTGGAATCGCGGAAGACTGCTGAACAAGCGTACACCCGTCACCAATTTTGTACAATCGGCCCGACCACAATGCGCTCAAATCACAGAAATTCCTCAAATATACAATGCGAAATGATCCTTCGCATGCTGCATCTGAAGGCGGCGCAAGCCCAATCGCTGGCGGCTGCGCTGATGGCTGCAGCAAGCATAATATCTATGCATGCCATAATGAAATCCACTGCACTTCGCCCAGTTATAGACGAAACCCGCATCCCGCTAGGCAATACAGATCGACGAGCGCACAGCAAGAGAGAGGGTCGTCTAACATGACTCACGCCCGCGATGAGAACAAAAGCAGTTTCGCAGCCAGTCCTGTACATTAAACTTGCGGGCCAATCAACGCAGCCGCTAGATACAATAATGGTAACCCAAACGCCAAGAGGATAGGGTTACAAAGTGTCCCTATCCTTTTCTGCGGAGGAATGCCCAAGTGAATCACTCGGCGCGGTTTGCTGGTGCGTTTTCAGATACTAGAACTTCCAAACTGGGTTTATTCTAAACAGGAACCTTTCTCGGCTATTCGGAAGACTTACAATGTATCGCAATACTCTGTATTAAACTAATATAACCTGTTACAAAAATTCGAAGTGACGAGCGGCGAATATACTGAGCGCCATTTCTGTTGACCTGTGACGTAGCATTTCCAATGCGCATAGCGATCGGCAAACGCAGCCGCCCTCGCGATTGGTCGGTGAATCCACTCTTCAAACCGAAGTACGTCACAGGCAACAGAAAATGGCGCTCAGTATATTGCCGGCGTCACTTCGAATTTTTGTACAAGTTATATTAGTTTAATACAGAGTATTGCGATACATAGTAAGTTCCCAGATAGCGGAGAAAGGTTCGTGTTGAGAATAAACCCAGTTTGGAAGTTCTAGTATCTGAAAACGCACCAGCAAACCGGCCGCAGTGATCACTCGGGCATTCTCCGCAGAAAAGGATAGGGACACTTTGTAACCCTATCCTCTTGGGTTTGGGTTACATTATTGTATCTACGCAGCCGCCAGCGATTGGGCTTGCCGCCGCTTTCAGATGTAGCATGCCAAGGATCATTTCGCATGTATATTTGGGAATTTCTGTTGATTGAGCGGCATTGTGGCGGGCTGATTGTCAAAAATGGCGGGTGTAGCTTGTTCAGCAGTCTTCCGCGATTCAACGATAGTTGGAAAGTGACGTCGACTGCAGAAACACCGGAGTTGTAACTGATTTAAAACTGTGAGTTGTGGTCTGTGCGGCGGCGAGTTAGGCATCATGTAGTATATATAATTAATGGCGGCGTGTGTGCTGTAGCTGGCGCGGACTTGTTCTTGCTGCCAGTGTTTTCAACCTCTTTGTTTAATTGCAGCGCTGCACAGTGACAGTGTGAGTGTTATATTTTCGCTGTACCAACTAACACAGCCAACTATCTCGTCTTTTGTGTGTCACCGGGGCGGCTGCCGGGACGAAGAATACCGTAGTCTATTAACAGGGATGAGATTCTTCCGCGGATCCGCGGAAATCCGCGGATTTGACAGTCCCAGGGGTCGATTTTGTGAAACGTCTAAATTCGTTGAGAAAATTGGGAGGGGGGTAACAATGTAACAATTTAAATTATATATCCTCAACAGCACCTGACTGTAGACTGTAGAGTGTAGACAGTCAGTAGGCTGACAGCGAAGTATACAGTGTATCTGTTTTTGCTTACCAGAAAAGAAAATCCTCGTTCACAGGCTGCAGTAGAGGGGCAAACATTTGAGGTAGCTGATCACGTAACGACCATGCCTGGCTGGGGGCCGGGTTTACATGTTGCTGGTGTGCATGTTGTGTGGCATGACTTATGCACTGATTGTTCCATTCGGCATTGTGTTTTTTCATTCAAATCTCGTCGCCGAGCAGGCAGCTTATGTCTGAGTAAACAATGCAAGCGAGGTGGAAACAGAAAAAGATATTATGTCTAGACATTTAATAAAAATTGCCGCTATTTTCAGCCCCTACCGCGATTTGTCGCTATTTTAGTTCGTTTGTTCGTTTTCGACCAATTGATAAAGGTTGATTGCCAAGAGTCTCCTATAATGTGTTCAGAGATAGCGTTAGAATGCCCCAAATTGCACGCATTCTTTGAAAAGCTAAAATTCTTGTAATTAGCTGAAAATTTAAATTATGCGCCAATCTCATCCGCTGTATAAAGCTAAATTAAGGCCCAGTCGATTAGCAATTTACGCACAAATGCTAGAGTAACTGGCACCTTGTGTAGTTAATGAGTATACAAAAAAAAAAAAAAAAAAAAAAATTACTTATAGCCAAGACGCGTAATTGAGTTTGTCCCAATATCACTGCTGTTACTAAAGAAACTGTCTAATGTGAAATCCGCAGTCCACGAAATCAGTTGACATGATCTTGTTTACAAAGATTTCGAAACCGCCATACTTCGAAACGGGTGTGGATACAGATTTATAGTCCACACGGACGATTTTCGCACACGCATGCAAAAACCGCACGCACAGCATGCATTTTCGCTCGGCCGTACGCGAATGCTAAGCGATAGTAGCAGTCACGCGTAAAAACTGTATACGTAACAGTAGGGCTTGATTGTAATGAAAGGCGGAGAATCCACGAACGAATCACGGGACGCTCGATGATAATGAAGTAGGGCTGTGTTGGAGCCAACGCTTAGATGGGGAGAGGATCGCGGAACTAAGCGCCAGCGCGCCGGAAGATGAGCCACAGACTAAAGACATGGAAAGCAGCACTGGGCACTGACGCGTATTTACGTGATATTGGTCAAAAACGAATACAGGGCCTGTGTCCTGAAAGATTGAAGACATGTGGATACCCGTTCATTTAGCACCGGGTCTCCGCACAGATTATTTACTTGAGCCTCAATGACCGAGAATTACAAGCCGCAGAGATGACATTTCTAGCTAGCTCATGTCAGTCGTATATAAGCAGTACCCGGGACAACAATTCTCTGCTCAAAGCACCGTTAGCGTACATGTGACGGTGCCTAACCGAATTCGAGGGTCCTATTTTGCTTGCCAACCTAATTTGCGTTGGCGCCAGATGACGCAGAATTTACGGAATCTTCAATTAGACATTTCTAGTCATGTAGCCAGTGATGATTGGAACAAACTAATACGCGTTTGAATCACTATAAGGTAATGACTTGTTAACTACAGAAGGCTGCCAGGTATACTGTAGCATGTCGTCAACTAATTGAGTATAATCAGTGAGGGCGCCTAGTTATGGCCTTGTGGAGAGAGATTTTTAGTTTAAGTGGAATAGCAAATGTACTAACTTATCCAAGTGCATGTTCACGGTTCTTATCCTATTGTTAGCGTCAATGAAACTGACGTAGTCAGATGGCACAGCTTGCGTGAATCGCATGATAATCAACGTGCGTGACCGGTGCAACAACAACAACAATTTGGGAAGGGCACAAATTCTAGAACGGCCAACGACGAGTTAACGGATTCGGAAAGGTCCGGGACGTAGGGGGGGGGGGTAATCCGAAAAGCCGAGTTGGGATGTCGGAGCTGGGGGTCAAAAAGGTCAAATGTAAAGATGGTGTAAAAGAAGGGGGGGAACATTCCGCTCCTTAACTTAAGGTATAGGCCGCGCGAAATGCAGAAATTGCCAGGCACAAGATCTGAACGCTCGATCTATGCTCTAATATTCGGTGTATACGTGTGATGGGGGCAAGGAAACCCATCACAGTGCGATAATTGGACACCTGTCACAGGTCAAAGGGCAGTGGGGAAAAGGTCAGATATCAGACATTTTCTGAGGTCATGGCCTAATAGACAGAGTGAAAAACTTTATTGAAAGGACCATGAAATGTGCTTTCCACTGACGTGCGAAGAGTAAGTGTCTGATAACCTTTTGACCCTCAAGAGGAGGGTTAAACATGGATTCCTGAACTGCCTCAATGATGTCACAGTGTTCTCATATTCATGGCACATCCATAATCTGGAAAGCCAATATGTCTGGATAGCCCAACGGCTACAGCACAGGATTACGGCTCAAATGTCCTTGAATCGAATCCCATCAGATTTTTTATTATTTACAAGTTTTCTGTATTTTTCTATCTAATAGGGTTAGGGTTAAGGTCACAATGCACCATAAAACAGGAGGTTCAGGCACGCGATTTGTATCAACCAATGGGATTTGGGACGTATGCAGAATGCAGAAGTTACGTTATAATATTATTATATATATAAGAAGAATAATACGTTTATAACCGTAGCAACAGACCTCTGATGAGCCCAGACGCTCTGCGGCTCTTGTTCTTAGTTTATTCACCGCCTCTTAAATTTATTCTCGTGATTTATGTGTATTTTAAACCTCCAAGTATTTGCTGATAAGTGCAATCTTGTAATTTTTAGCATTGTGAAATGATACTTTGAGTCATAAATTTTTGTAGTGTTTTCCCACGGTTTGGAGGCCATTCTTAAACTACGCGACTTAACGACATAGCTACATTGAGTGCTCTACTCTACTTGCTTGCATTTGTAAAGACTTGTTTATTTAATGTGTATATTACATAATCACATAAATTTTTGCTGTCTCGTTATCCTGGTATTTGCATCTCATGTTTATGCTCTTAGCTCTAGTCCTGCAAATTCCCTTATACCACAGGCACAGTGTTTATAAGTACCTCTACTTTTACCTAATTGTACTACTCGCCCCCATTAAGTTGTCATTGGTCATGTTTCTAGCAAAAAGCATAAATTGTGGCTTTGTATATTTTTACTTATTTTGAGTGGTGATATTGAACTTAACCCTGGCCCGATTAAATTCCCTTGTGGTTCTTGTTGGAAGCCTTGTCGCTCCAATCAGAAAGCAATTTGTTGTGATGTATGCACTACTGTAAACAGGAATGATGAACAGGGATGATGGGAGGATGTTACACTACATGGTTTCATTTCCGTTGCTCTAGATTGGAAGAGGTGAAATTCTTAGAACATGTTAATTCCCCAAACCTATAGTAGTTTGGATTTGTTCCCAGTGTGGTCTTCCTAATCTTTCTGGTAGTTTTTTTGACATTGATGATTTGTCGCACCCAAATTCGTTTTCCCCCCTTCAGGCCTCCACTTCTTCACCAAGACGTCAGTGCTCAACTTCCTCCTCAACGCACTGCTAAGAACTCTCGTCCTAGGAATAAATTGAAATTCGTTTTGAGTAACTTCAATAGCATCAAAGGTGATGCTAATCCAGCATTTCTTAACCTAATTAATGACCACTTGCCAGATATTGTTCTTGGCACTGAATCTAAACTGGACCCCTCTATCCCATCCAGTTAGGTGTTTCTCGATAACTTCAATGTTTATAGGAAAGATCGTAACCGTCATGGGGGTGGCGTTTTTATTGCTGTTAAGAAGTCCATTTCTAGCTCTTTAGTTACCTCTTTTGATGAAGAAGGAGCAGAACTCACTTGGGTGAAGCTAAATGTTAAGAATTCTAAGCCCTTATATTCCATGATTGGGTACAGGCCCCCTCTTGATCAACTCACTAGAATCGCTAATTCTGTGAACGCTTTCTTCTCTCGTCATAATGAGTCTTATCCACCTACACTCATTTGTGGTGACTTTAATTTGCCTGGAATTGATTGGCAGTCCTATTCAGTGACTGGCCAACGAGATACTCATTTATGTAGTCAACTGCTCGATTTGTGTACTAGTCATTCCCTGACTCAACTTGTCACTCAGCCTACTGGATGTACTGAAACTTGTAGCAACATTCTTGATTTAGTATTTACTAATTTCCTCAATTTGGTTTCATCTATATCTGTGGTCCCTGGTATTAGTGATCATGATTGTGTCATCTTTAATTTAGATCTTTCTCCAGTCAAAGCAGCTAACTTAGGAACTCGTGAGATTCTTCTCTTTGATAAGGCTGATAAAGAGGCACTTTCGAATCACTTTACTGCCTCATACTTTTCCAGTGATCCGACAAAGAGATCCCTTGAATGTAATTAAACAGGCTATCACCTCAGGTGTAAACTCATATGTCTCTCGTAAGGTTATTCGTAATAAGGCTTCAGTCCCTTG